TCACGGCTGGCCACGCTAACCGAATGTCCTGCGGCGGTCCCAGGCACCGTCAGAGAACAGTCGTTTGGGGCAGTGTCCTAAAACCCATGGCACTGCTCCACAGCCGCTTCTAGATTTACCAAGAACCCCTAAGTCCGGGCGTTGCAACGTGACCCCGGCCGCGGCGCCCTCGGGTGTTACGGCACCAGCAGGTTCTCCTTGCGCCGCGCTTCCGCCTCTGAGCCGGCGCTCACGCGAATCAGTCAACGTGAAATTTGGCTCTTTGCGCAGGCGATTACAGAGGGCAGTGGTCTGCTTGCACACCAGAATCGGTGACGGCAGACGGACAAACGTCACCAGACGCTCAGGCCCCTGTACGCTGTTCCAGTCGGTCGACGTGTGGCGAGCACAAAAGAGGACCGTCGTCGCCGTAGCGTGGCAATCCGATTACCTGTTTTCTTGTTACGCAAGCCGAGTAAATACCGGATTGCTCTAGTGTGACTTCACAAACCAAATATTTATTTCTAGTATATAAATATTATGCAATATTTGCTTCTTTGCTTTTGGGGGAAAAAAATCTATAAACGAGGCCACTGAAAATGTAGTACAAAAGCAGGACCACTTATTTTATCACAAGTTGCACTAAATCATCGGCACCAACAAATAAACAGCAGGCGCTGTCCCATCCGCTGACATAAATAACTGCAACGCGTGAGGGGTGCAAGAGGTGACATTATTTTCAAAAAAATCCATCTACAATTGTATTTTGTTCATACTTGTGCTGTGGAGGAAAACACAATTTTTTGGTTTTTTTTTTTTAAGTTTGCCTCAGAGTGCAAACCTCAGAGGATCATTTCTGGGGGGAGCTTAGCTGAAAAAGTCTAAAAGATTAAAAAACAACAACAACAAAAGGACTTTCCCTGCCTTCTGCCCCCCATAGCGAAGCCCCTTTTAGCAAGGCGCTTGGCTGCAGCTGTAAACCGCCCTTCAATTTGGCAGAACGTTTTCGTAGGCATTGCACAAGCCGTGCCATTTCCCTGGAAAAATTAGAGACCGGCCAGTTTCCTCTTAAACAACTGGCCTGTTTTGTGTGTTGCACCGACTGGAAATCCGGCCCTCTCGAGCACCGCTGTCCTCAGCAGGAGAAAGGCGCACGTTTTACCTACGACGCGTGCTGGGAGCACGCCAGCTCCCGTGGCTGCACAGGACGCTTCCAGAGGGGCTGTGAAACCCCAGGCGCAGCTGGCAACGGTTAGGACGCAGCCCAGAGACCGGCAGCAAGCGCAGCATTTGCGTTTGCCGACGGAAGACGTGAGTCACCATGAGGCTCGTGCTCTAGCCCCAAGTGTTTCGCTGCAGCTCTTTAGTACCTGGCTTTGCAGCACAGAAAGGACACTGGGTGGTGGGGACTGAGCCTGAGGTGAGGCAACGCCACCCACAGACCCCTGGGAGAGGTGAGAAAGGGGCGATGGGGGAACAAGCACCCTCCTTGGGGTGGGGGGCCCCGCGGGGCAGCGAGCTGGCACCCGTCTCCAGCAGCTCCTGCAGCTCCTGCCAGGGCTTGCAGCACCCGTGACCTTCACGCTCCCATCCATCCCTGACACGCCGAGCCAGTCATTTGCCCTGACGACCTTCGACTGCCAAAAAGCCCCATCGTGTCATTTCTAGATGGCCCAGCACACAGTAGGGTTTTTTTGTTTTTTTCTCCTTTGCTTTTCTTTATTACAGTTCATTTTTTTCCAGGCAGAGATTTCATAATCGGCTCAAACACTTTGTTGGGACTTCCCTCTTTTTTGCATCCTCTCTTCCATCAGCTCAAAGCAGTTAGTTCCTTCCTGTGCCTTAGCGTGTCACTTTTCTAGAAAATAAGCATTTGAAGAAAATTCTACAGAATTGTTTCCTTTTTTCCCTTCTGAGTGCAGAAGCAGCCCGTTCAGCCCTTTGGTTTATTACCTTTTGTTCATGTGCTCCAGGGCAAATAACATCAAAGGAGATGATTCATTTCTGAGGA